AAATCTGGTGTGTATGTTATACTCACAGCACATAGTAATCAGAATAAGCACATTCAAAGTGCTCGGTAGCCACGGGTGGCTACCATATTGAACAATGCGGGTCTATCTTATGGAGAAGAAATGTTGACATAAAAATGAAAAAACAGCCCTAACCGGTTTGGCTCAGTGGATAGAGCGTCGGCCTGCGGACTCAAGGGTCTCAGGTTCGATTCCGGTCAAGGGCATGTACCTTGGTTGCGGGCACGTCCCCAGTAGGGAGTGTGCAGGAGGCCTGTGCAGGAGGCAGCTGATCGATGTTTCCCTCTCATCGATGTTTCTAAGTCTCTATCCCTCTCCCTTCCTCTCTGTAAAAAATCAATAAAATGTATTTTTTAAAAATTAAAAAACAAACAAAAAAACAACGTACCCAAAAATGTGGAAGGAGTTGGCATTCAGAGCATGAAGTGGAGAGATTAGTTTTAAATATGATGAACCTTCTTCCTGTGGGAAGGAAAAAAGAAAGCATGGGTTAGGTTATTAATGAGTCTAAGGTGGGAAGGGTGTGAAGAAAAAGGAAAATGTTCAGAGAGTTTTTATCTAATTTTTTTCCATGTCATCTGAGCGTGAGGGGCGGGCCCTGCGGCAGCAGCAGTACCTGGGAGCTGGTTAAAATGCAGAGTCTCAAGCTTCCTCCCAGACCTACTAACTCAAAGTCTGCATTTCAATGAAATCTCCAGATGATTCTTATGCACATTAGTTTGAGGAGCGTTGTAGTAAAAGTGTAAGGCGAGGGGCTGGGGTTTGTAGTGGCCACACATGGGATGGGAAAAGCAGTATGGGGGTTGCCAGGCAGTGTTGAGTCCCTGCTGAGCTTAGAGACGGCCAGTTGGTGTGTGGTGACACCAGTTTACCTGGTTCTGTGACTTACCAGCCTGCTTGCAGAAACAGAACGAGAAGGATCGGACTGATTCCATCCCGGAGGGTAGCCCAGCAGGTGAGGCAGAAAGACAGGGTTGAAAGTGGCTGAAGTGATCAGCTGAGGAGGAAAGCAAAGCTGGGAGCAGTCTGATAAACCAGCAGCAAATGGAATGGCCAAGGGTTTGGTGGGATCAGAGCGGGTGAAGTGAAAATAAGGTAGGGGGTGAGCTGAAGAAGTGGGAGGTTGTGGCCGCAGACCCGGTTACCATAGCATCAGAAGTCTTTGTGGAGGTCATGCTCATCCAACCTCCTGTTATAGGAATTTCTCTTTTTTAAATACACTGTTTCAATGTACATTCAGTGATGGGATAACCTGTTACTTTCTTAGAAGACCTAGTTCAAAAGTTAACTTATATAGACCAAAGTTTGTCTGCCTAAAAATTCCATGTTGGTTCTAGTTCTGCCTTGTGGAGTAATACAGTATATTATGTTCTGTTTTATAACTCTCCAGATTCAACTTTCAAAGCTTGTTCAGCTATTACTGAATAGTATGGTTGTGTTGTTTTTTTAAAAAAAAAAAACAACTTACGTTTTAATTAATTTCAGATAGAAAGGGAGAGAGAGAGAGAGGAACATCAATGATGAGAGAGAACCACGGATCAACGCCTCCCACACCCCCACCCCACCCTCCCTGCACTGGGGATCCAGCCCGAAACCCAGGCATGTGCCCTGAGTGGAATCGAACCGAAACCTCCTGGTTCAACCACTGAGCAACACCGGCCGGACATATGGTTGTGGTTTGTAAGAAGGGTGGTGGACAGGGCCAGAGCCCAAGTCGGTACGCACACTGAGCCAGGTGAAACCTGGAAAGTTTCTGGGGCATGTAGGCCTTTCCCACTGACAGAGAATGCAGCAGCAATCTTGAGCCTGTGAACAGTTGGCTAAAGTTCCTTGCATCTAAGGCAGTGGTTCTCAAACTTGGCTGCACATTAGAATCAGCTGGGAATCTTTTTAAAATCCTGATTTCTGGGCCTCATCCTCCGGAAATTCTGTTTCTTTGTTATGGGGTGAGGCCACAACATTAGTAACAAAGAAACAATTTCTGGAGAATGAGGCCCAGAAATCAGGATTTTAAAAAGATTCCCAGCTGATTCTAATGTGCAGCCAAGGTTGAGAACCACTGAATTCTAGGGAATATGCCAGGCTGGTTCTTGATCCAGTTTCACTCACTGTCTTGACCTAATCCATCCCTGACCCATCAAAGCAGTTCTCTTGACTTTTGATGCTGATAAGCTCCATGAAGATGAGGCATATGCAAGCAGTAATCAAACTATATTTAGATGAATCTCAGATAGCCAGTTAAGCAGTTCTTATCTCGTTTAAGTTTGGATTAGGGCTTCTTCTAACATTCAGTGCCTTGTCTCATCTCTCCACTGCACACAGACTTCTGAATGGGACTCCGAATGCCTTACGTCCCTACAGCCCCTTCCCCTCCCCACACCCCCAGGAGCAAACGAGGCACACCTGCAGACTGCAGCCATCTCCCTGTGGACAGTGGTGGCAGCTGTGCAGGCTATAGAGAGAAAGGTGGAGGTGCACAGCCGGCGTCTCCTACATCTAGAAGGACGGACAGGGACAACAGAGAAGAAGCTGGCCAGCTGTGAAAAGACAGTGGCTGATCTCGGGAACCAGCTGGATGGCAAGTGGGCCGTGCTGGGGACCCTGCTGCAGGAGTACGGGCTGCTGCAGAGGCGGCTGGAGAACTTGGAGAACCTGCTGAGGAACAGGAACTTCTGGATCCTGCGGCTGCCCCCGGGTATTAAAGGAGATATCCCAAAGGTAGTGCTTCACTTCTAGTTGGAGAGTGATACCACTAGTCCTTAGTAAGGGATAGTCTTGGGAACCTTGACCTTGTTTTATGTTTATCTATTTGGGAAGCATTTCATGCTCAATTTAGCAGTTCATCTGAAGTGTCAAACTTCAGATTGGAAAACTCTTTCCAATACAAAATTGGCAGTCTGACAGGTGGATTTTTTTTCTCTTTAGCTTTCTCTTACTCATTACACCCAAGTCACTTTTTTCTTTGTTAACCTGTCTGCCACAATCTTGGTGTGGAAACTAAATTAAATATCATTAAATCAGTCAATTTTAATTTGTTGGCAATTCTGGTGAAAAAGTTAGAGGGAGGACAAGGGAAGGGATGTAGAGTAAATGGTTAATGTAAGGGTTTGGGGTGATTTGTAGGTCTAGGGTTGATGTAGACTCTGTCCTTCAGCTCCTTGACAGAATTGTGCTGCAATGCTGGGGCCCAGCCTTTCTGAATGGAATAGCCTTTAAAACAAAAGAAAATAAATATTATTCTTAAGCTACAGAAGGCAGCCTTGAGGCAGCTGGTTCCCAACCATGCCTGTTTATTCATTCATTCAACAGATATTTCCTGAACACTTACTCTTTTGCTTGATATTTGCTCTCTGAAGGCATAGCAATGAACAATTCCTGTAAACTACTCTGGAGCTTAAATTTTAGTAGAGAAAGAAAGATAATATAAACAAACAAGAAAATGAATATATTTAAGTGCTTTGACAAAAATGAAGGTGCTATCCAGTGATTTATTTTAGATTGGCTGTCAGAGACGGTCTCATAAAGGAGCTAATATTTAGGCTGAGACTGATTAACAGGAAGGACTCATCTGTGAGAAGTTCTGAAGAAGAGCTTTCTAGGCAGGAAGAATACCTAGTGCAAAGTCCCGAGGGGAAGTAAGGCCAGTTAGCAGGTATGCAGTGAGTAAACAGGAGCGTGACTAGAAGAACGAGGAGGGCAGTGTTTTTCAACATAGCCATCACTTACATGGTTTAAATTTTAGATGGACATCTCATCTTGAGATTCTGACTTAATAGGTCCAGGATGGGGCCTAAGCATGAATAATTCTAGAGCTCATCATGATCTAATATGTACTAGGTTTGTGAACCACGGGTGTAGGGCATT